TCTCGTTCATACGCAGAGTAATTCAGATACAATAGCGCGCTGAATTCAGATACAATAGCGCGCTTATACACCCTGTATAACTCGTACGGTATTAAAGGAAATAAGATGCATGGATGCCTGTAGCATTGTATATTATTAGCATAAATCATGATATGTATATAAGTCCTGAACTAGTATTAAAGTCAAGAAATGAAGCAAAAGAGTGGAAAGACTCTGGTCCCTTGATTGCGTTAGAGATAGCCAAAATGGCATCTTTTCAAGTGCAACCGCCGGAAAAATTTACTTTCAAGCCAGAAGATTGGTTGAAATGGAGTCGGAGATTTGAGCGATTTAGGATGGCGTCTGGTCTCGAGAAAGAAAGCGAAGAAAGCCAAGTTAATACCTTGATTTATTCAATGGGTAAAGAAGCGGACGATATTGTGCAATCTCTCGGTATCGCTGAAGGCGACCAAAAGAAGTACGATGTTGTTAAAAAGAAATTAGAAAATTTTTTCATCATCAAGAGAAATGTAATCTTTGAGCGGGCTAAGTTTAACTTGCGAAGTCAGCAGGAAGGAGAAACCGTCGACGTGTTTATTACGGACTTGTTCAACCTTGCAGAACATTGCAATTTCGGTGTTTTACGCGAAGAATTGATCCGTGACCGTATTGTTGTTGGAATTCGGGACAAAGCGTTGTCGGAAAAGTTACAGCTCGAAGCAGACCTAACCCTAGAAAAAGCCGTGAACTTTGCCAGAAAGAAACTGTTAGAAAGCAGCAAAGGTTTCTTCGAGGCGATGGCAAACAGCAAATCGACTATGTGGGCGTAGGAAAATTTGCAAAAATAAGAAAGAATGAGAAATCAAACTTCAAAGAGCAAGACAAAGGACAAAGACACAAAGGCAACGGAAAATGCAGTAGGTGCTTAGGACCTATGCATCCTAAGAAAAGCTGTCCAGCAAACGACTCAAAGTGTCATAAGTGTGGCAAGATTGGTCACTGGGAAAGAGCGTGTAAAAGCACAGCGGTCAGTGAAGTCAGCCGAGGCACAGGTGAGATCTTTCCAAACGAGTTTTTCCTAGGCGAAATAGTCGTAGAAAGCATTGAAGCTGAACCGTGGAAAGCAAATCTTACGGTGAATGATTGTAAGTTTCAATTTATGCTCGATTCAGGTACTCACTGTAACTGTCGTTCCAAAGCACTTTTATGATAAATTGTCAAATAAACGAAAAGTCAAGCTTCAATCAACTGATAAAATATTATTAGACCCTTGCAATTATCGTCTCAATTGTTTGGGAAAATTTAATGCTAGAATAACCTCAGAGAATAAATTTATTCTCGAGGAAATTTATGTTGTGAAAGATCTGCGTAAACCATTGTTAGGCAAATCAGCATGTGTATCATTAAATTTACTTGGTAAAATCAATGAGGTGAAAATTACTAAAGCACCAGAAGAAAGCAAATATAAACAACAAATAATAGGTCAATATCCCAAATTATTACATGGCAATCATTTGTTTTGATGAATCGTGCAATTTGATTGGCTGCTGACGAGGCAGGATTTTCCCGTATTGCCCACGGGCAATACGCAATTTTTATTGCCCTGCGACGAGAGCCGAGTTTCAAACGGCAAAAAGAGTCTAAAAGTCTTTCAAACTATTCAAAACGAAGAAAAATAAACCTAAACTAAAGAAAAGGAGCACCTTCTGTGGTTAAAGAACTTTCTCAATATGTTTTTGTTAGCGAAAGTCGAAATTACAAGGTAAATTTTACAATGTTTATAACTATTAAACCAGTCAGGAATAGCTGTGTTTTGACTTTGTGAAGAGCTGCAAATTTTATTTGCAGATAGCCGAGGAATTTGACACCACCCTAAATAAAAACTACCACTAAATCAGCCACAGATTTATATTTTTTCCTGAAAATTTCTGTTTTTGTTCGATAAAAAGAGACATATTTATGAGATGAAGCGAACTAAAAACGTACTTGTCCATAC